CCCTACCTGCCAGCGGACAAAGGATCATAAAGCGCAGAGCCAAGAGGATTTGAGACTATTAAAGTAATAGAACTCCAAGAGGATGGGGACAATGCCGGGTACTGTTCGTGTCCCTTTGGCTCCAGACAGCCGAGACAGTCCCAGAGCTGGCCCTGCGTGGGTGCCCACACGCCACCTCCAAAGGGTGCCGCAGGAGTTAAAACACCTGCAATTTGTGGAATCTTCCCCCTCCCAGTTCGGTTTGCTGCCAAAGAAAAGATCCAGGTTTTCCCTCAACCATGAAAAAGCATCTATTTATGGACCTGGGAAGCACCTCCCAAAACACCAGGGCATCAAACCTGCAACTTTTTATCAGGAACTTGAGCCCAACTCCAGCTAAATCACAAGAGCCTCCAGGAAACTTTGCATCAGGGATGAAACAGAAACCAGTGTTTTGCTCCCAGGGCTTCACAAAGACCTAATTCATCACTTCTTTTCACCACTGCAGGAAAGCTATTAGGGATTTCAATGCATATTCATTACTCGTTATCGACATCTATTCAGGTAAGTCAAGGTCAGGGATGACTTTTGAAAGGCTCAAGCAGGACGTTTAGAGCTACCTCCTCACTTATGCCTTTTATCTGCTAGAAAGTCAGCTCTCAGGCTTCACCAGAGTGCATGGAAGGAAAAAAAAAAAAAAAAGTAAGGAAATTTGCTTCTATAAAAGGTTAGATAAAATATCCACCTCCCTACTTCAGGCATTTTTACTGTCTCTTCCTAAAAAGCGTTCCCGCACTCCTCCCGCAAGCCCACGCCACATGTTCTGCGTTAGCCTTACATTCCCCTTTTCCAGCTTTTTTCCCCCCTCCATTGCAATTCCCCGACACCTTGGGGGATGCACCAAGAACACGTTTCCGCGCTGCGCATCGCGCACCCACGCGTGTGCGGAACCGCCATCACCCCACCGACGTGCCGGCTGTGGGTTTGCACGCAGATCGTCACCGTATTTTTCACGTACCCTCGTCCGTGGAGCCGGAGCGATGGGAGAAGAGCAAGGCAGTGGGAGCCCCTTCCCTCCTTGAGCATCCTCCAGCCAAGCCCCCTCCCCTCGCCTGGCTCTGCCCATCCAGCTGCCTGCTATGACTTGACTTTTCCCAGCCCCTACGTGAGAGACGTGCAGCTTGACAGCAATTTAATGGATCGCCGTCAAAAGGCCAGATGAAGGCATCACTTCGCATCCATTCCAGCCTCTCGGTGACGAAGAAGCGGACAATCGGACGAATTATTTCGCACGGAGGGAGCAGGCAGGAGGGAACTTTCCGAGGATGCTCCCAGGGATGCTCCCACTCCCTCTTCTCCCCCCCCTCGGGGACCACGTTGGCCTCGCTTCTCTCTTATACCTCCATTCCCACCCGCCTTTGTGGCCCTGCTCTTTGTTGCTGCCGAGGAATTAATAGCCACCTCCGAGTTTAAAATAGCCACCTCGAGTTTTAAAAAATAAAAAAATAAAAAAAATACCTAAACCATCCCAATAACACTCTTCTCAGAGCGCAGCAAGTGGTACCCAGCATGGCATATTCCCACCCCGATAAAAAAAAAAATACTTAGAAGCCACGTTATGGTATTAATAAGCCCCTTGGTGCCTTAATATATTAAAGTATGTTCGTTTTCTCCTCTGCCAAGAGGGAATTCCCTCCTCTGAGAAACCGGGTGAATAAAGTAGCAAAAAAACACAGGGAGGCTCTGTGTACACAAGGGATTTCTTTCAGAGGTGTCAGTCCTTGGGGAAAATCAAACCAGATACATCTGCGAAGTATTAAAGCCAGGAGACATTTTACCCTGCTAAAAGCCAAGCCCCCTGGCAACCCAGATGTTCAGCCTGTTGCTGAAAGCCATTTCTTCAGCAGCTTCTGCCGCAGAGCTGCCCTTGCCAAGCCCAGGCTGCCTCTGCAAACATCTGCCATAGGGCTCAGCCGGCCCTTGCTGCGTGCCCGACCCATAGCCATGGGGCAACAACATGTGGCAAGTTCACAGGAGATTTTTTTTTTTAATTATTATTATTAGTTTTTAAAAAGGGGAACTTTCCAGCCAAGGGAAATAAAGGTCTGAAGTGACTTTAATAAACGCCTGCTCAAGAAAAGCATCAGAAAGACTGATTCACCCAACTGCCCAAGCCACTTCCATCCTTTGCCAGGCTGCAAAGTGCCACCTCCTCCATCCTGGCTCTCCGCAACCCTGGATCTGCGGATTCCTGCGACGCTTATTTAGAGTTATGTGGAGTTGCACAACTGGCAGGTTGTCAGTTTAGCTGTTGGGCGAGTTAAAAGAGCTGTCTCTTGAGCTTTAGTATTGTATTATGATTCATGATTTGGTTTATAGTAACACCGGGATGACCCAAGCGTGGTTTTTGGTTTTGATTTTTTTTTTTTCCCCCCCTAAAGGGCGGAGGTTGGTTTTAAACGCTCAAGATGCTTTCTGGGCTTTGAAAAGAAAGGAAACCGCTGCAGGAGTTTCAGCATTCATTTTTGCCCTCCACCTGCCTCCCATCTCATCCCAAGTGCAGCACATGGTAAAGTGGAAACGGCTGGTGAGGTTTCGGTTGTTTGTTGTTTTTTTCTTTCCCCGAAA